GACAGAGAGAGGAGAAGAGTGACTGTTTTAGGAGTCAGTCCGCCGCGCCGCCAAGGGCGCTCGCTCCCCCGACGACGACGACGCTCCCGAACTCAACCCCGGGCCGTGCGACTGCGACGCGGTGCGGTGCGGTGCGACGCGGACGCCGCGGGCGGCCTCGCTTCGCGGTTCACGCTTCTCCGGGCCTCCGGGGCTCCGGGGCTCCGGGACCACGCCGTCGCACGCATAACGCACTTTGCTCGGCAACAAGTGGCCCGCCTCGACCCGTCGGCACGGCCAGGCACGCCCAATTCCAGAGGGAGGACGATCTTTCGCCCGTCTCGCTCGATCTCGACCGCAAGACTGGTTCCCGACACACAGCAGACTGATCCCGAGAGTCGTTTACGTCGCACAGTGGGCCTTCTGACCGGTGGAGGCGGCCAAAACTCTGGACGCGTTTTGAGCTCAGCGTCGCTAAGTGGGGCTCGATTAGAACGTGTGACCCCACCAATGGATTGCTCTCCGAACGAGGAATCGATTGGTGGGGTCACACGTTCGGTTCGAGTCCTGTTTAGCGACTCTGGAGCTCAAAACGCGTCTAGAGTTTTGGCCGCCTCCACCGGTCTTCTGGCCCACTAGGCGTCGCGCTGTCTCTCTCGAAGCTCTTCGCGACGCCCCGTGAGAGCGATGGAGGCAGCGACGAAAACGACACTCGGAATCAGTCTGCAGGGCGACGAAGCCATGGGACGAAGCCATGGGACGCGCATGGCGGGGATGGAGGATCTGGCCGTCCGCCGGGAGGCCGGGCGGCTGCCGCACTGCCGCGGGCCAAAACAGCGAGCAAGTCAACAATTCGACAGAAACGGGGTGAAACTCATAGCGACGGTCCGACCCTCCCTGCGACCACCTCCGACCCTTCGGGCAGGGTTGGGAGTTAGGGTCGGTTCGAGCAGCACAGCAGCGAGCTACCCGAATTAAACACGAGGTGAGATCCTCAAGTCGCGCTCGGTGCTGCGCAGTGCCACCGGGCGGTACTCCTTGACTTGCCATCTCCGCAGAGCGCAGAGGCAGAGGGAGGGCCCACGCCAAGGCCCAAGCCTCCCCATCTGCACCTACCTAGCCTTCCCTATCTACGGCCATCTCCCGGCGGGGCGGGGCGCGGTGGGGCGCGGTAGGGTGCGGCGGGGTGCGGTGGGGTGCGGCGGGGCGCGGTGGGGCGCGGTGGGGTGCGGTGGGGTGCGGTGGGGCGAGGTGGGGTGCGCCGGGGCGCGGTGGCCCAGCAGCAGGGGTTCGATACTCCCCTCAGGCGGGGAAAAAAACGCACCAAACGGCTTACCGGAGGAAAAATTTCATATCCCCGCCCGGGGCCGTCCGGGCCGTCCACACAAAGCCGAAGCCTGTCCCCACTGATTGAAACAAGAACAAGAACAGGCCCTCAGCCGCCAGCAGACTGATTCCGAGCGTCGCTTTCGTCGCTCTGTCTCTCTCGCACCCTTGCGGGACGTCCCATGGGGTCCGAGGGAGACAGAGCGACGAAAACGACTCTCGGAATCAGTCTGCGCATTGGGAGCGCGGGTAAACAGGAGAAGACCAGGGAATGCGACACACTGCGTGGCGGAGGACGAGGCGGAGCGCCGAGCCCGCCGAGCCATAAAGCCCACAGGGGGTCCCTTAAATCTACATTCCTGCGTCGACGCGGGCCCCGCCAAGGCCCTGCACTGGTCCTGCCTGGACCGCCCCTGGACCGCCCCTACACCGGACTTCCCTGCAGAGATGGTGCCAGCGACTGGCATGACCCACACTCACATGCACACACCCACACTCAAACACACACGTACTCACGTACACAGACGCGCACACACACACGAACTCACACACTGAGCACTGCCTGCATAATCTGGGATTCCGGCCGTGCCACGCCCCACCGCCACCGGGCCGATTCCGAGTCGCACTTTCTTCGTCGCTCTGTCTCTCTCGCACTCGTGCGGAGCCCCGTGAGGGGTGCGATAGAGACTGACAGTGCGCCGTTCGGAATGGGAGCGACCGCGGGCTCCACGCCAGGCTGCTCACGATTCCGAGAGTCGTTTTCGTCGCTCTGTCTCTCTCGCACTCAAGGTGCTATAGGTGCGAAAGAGACAGAGCGTCGAAAGCGACTCTCGGAATCAGCCCGCCGGGCCGACGAGAGACCGCCCTCGCCTACCTTCCCCGAGCCTTCGTCGTGGAGACGGAGGCGCCTTCTTCAGCTTCAGCGGCAGTCCATTCCACTCAGCGCGGCGACGCGGCGACGCGGTGCGCCACTGCCAAGTGGTGGAAAGGCCTTGCGGGAATACCCCGCGCGCCAGGCATTCCGCCATAAGCTGAGAGTCTCTCGAGCGAGGGGTATGGCCGAGGGAAGTTCTTGAGCCGACGACGGCAACGACTCCCATTCAGAGCAATCAACTGGCACCGCTCATTGGTTCGATTCGAGTCATTTGACGAGCGGAGCTCAGGACGAGTCCGTCCCGTCAACCTGGTCTCCTCGCCAACAGCGCGGCAGCCTGATTCCGAGCAGCGCTTCGTCGCTCTGTCTCCGTCGCACCCCTACGGAACGCCGACGCCCTGCGAGTGCGAGAGGGGCGGAACCAACGCCAGCACACCGTATACGGAATCAGCCGGCTGCATAATGCAATGGCGGAATGGCGCTGCACTTTCCGCCTTCCCGCTTTCGCCGCATTGTCAACGGGGCGGGGCGGGGCGGGGTGGGGTGGGGCGGGGTGGGGCGGGGCGGGGTGGGGCGGGGTGAGGCGGGGCGGGGCGGGGGGGGCGGGGCGGGGTGGCGGGGCGGGGCGGGGTGGGGCGGGGTGGGGCGGGGGGTGAGACGGGGCGGGGCGGGGTGAGCGGGGCGGGGCGGGGCGGGGCGGGGTGAGACGGGGCGGGGTGAGACGGGGCGGGGTGGGGGGGGGTGGGGCGGGGTGGGGCGGGGTGGGGCGGGGTGGGGCGGGCTGAGGCGGGGCGGTGCGGTGCGGGGTGAGGCGGGGTGGGGTGAGGCGGGGCGGCCGAAAAGGGTTCGCACCGGGGTTCCACGTAGCGCAGCCTAGAGTCCCAGATGGATCTGCCAGCAGAGAATGCCGCCGCCCCGCGCCACCTGCGACTTTCATTTACCGCGCCAAGAAAAGCTGGAGAGAGCGAAGGTCGGCCACGCCACGCCAGTGGACAGATTCCGAGAACCGTCTTCGACGCTCTGTCCCTCCTGCACCCATAAGAACGCCCCACGAGTGCGAGAGAGACAGAGCGACGAAAGAGACTTTCGGAATCAGTCTCCTGGTGGTGAAATAGCCGAGGGCTGGGGACGTCCTCCAAAAGGCGCTCAGTGAGTCCTGCAAAAGTTGTCGCGGGCGGTACCACTTGGAGAGGACTTCCACGAGGTTTTCGCCGGGGCCGGTGGCCCCCGGGGGACGCGCCGGAGGACGACGAGAGGACGGTCCTCGAGGAGTGCCCTCGGGCCGAGTCCACGCGCTGCAACGTGACGGGCCGGCATTGCTTTGGACGCTGTCTCTCTCACTCACGCGTCGTCGCGTACGTGCGCGAGAGAGACAGAGCGACAAAAGCGATGTTCGGATGGCCAGCAAGGACGCACACGCGGCACACGCGCGAGACCTTGGCCTGCGAATGCTGACTGCCGACTCACAGTGGGCCAGAAGACCGGTGGAGGCGGCCAAAACTCTAGACGCGTTTTGAGCTCCAGAGTCGCTAAATGGGACTCGAACCGAACGTGCGACCCCACCAATGGATTCCTCGGACGAAGAGCAATCCATTGGTGGGGTCACACGTTCGGTTCGAGTCCCATTTAGCGACTCTGGAGCTCAAAACGCGTCTAGAGTTTTGGCCGCCTCCACCGGTCTTCTGGCCAACTGTGCGACTGTACGCGCTTTAATGATGCAGGAGAGTGCACGGCAGGCACGGCCCGTCGGCACGGCGTGGCGAGGCGGCAGAGGGGCCGGGAATAGAATGCCTTGCATACAGTTACAGTTGCATGGGGCGCCTCGAGGGCCAGGGGCAGCCAGGGGCGGCCAGGGGGCTCGGTGGGGGGACTCTGTAAGGCTAAGTCGGGGGTGCCGTCGTTGTCGAGTCGTCGGCCAGCAGACTGTTTCCAAGAATCGTTTTCGTCGCTCTGTCTCTCTCGCACCTGCACGGGACGCCCTATGAGTGCGAGAGAGACAGAGCGGCGAAAACGACTCTACGGGGCATTGATCCCGGCCCTGGCCATGGCCGCGCTCCGCGCCTCCTCGGTCCCCAGCCTGCTGACCAAGCCTTGCTCCCCACCGTATAGGCCCAGCCGGGCGGTTGGAGGCTCTGTCTCTCTCTCTCGCCCTTATGGAGAGCCCCATGATTGCGACAGAGACAGCGACGGAACAACTTTTCTGACTCGCTCGGCAGCTGCCTTGCTGGCCCTTCCACTGCGAAGCGCTGTGTCCGGCCGTCCGGGGTGCGGCCGGGCCGAGCCGAGCTCGGCTGGACCCGGCTGAGCCGAGACAGCCGCGGACGGGCCGAGCCGGGCCGAGCCGGGCCCTGGCCGGGCCTGGGTCCGGAAATGAGCCACGCCCTGGCCTGCCGTCCTGCGCCTGCCCGCCCCCGGGCCGCCGCCTCCGCAGCGCCCCGCCCCGCCCCGCACCACCCCCCGCTGAGGACCGGCATCGGGCGCGCGAAAATAGATCGGCGAGAGGACCGCAAGCTGCAGGCTGCCGCGGGGCCGCAGGGAAGGGAGCCGAAAAAGAAGCGAAATGATGAATGACAAAAGGGGATCCTGGATCCCGCGTCCACGTCGCCCGGCCCGGCCAAGCTGGGATGATTGAATTCCGAAATGGGCAATCATGGAGCGCGAGCGACGGCACGGCCATACTCGACTACTACTCCGCCGTCGTTGGCTTTGTCGGATGCGCAAGAGTCATGCAGGATGAGTTATTTAGCAACCCGATGTTGGCAGCATGGAAGGCGAGTTTCCTGACGATTCGGAAAACGCGGGAAAACGCAATGAAGAGCACTCACCGTCCGGCAATGCCCCCCGGTTGGATGTCCTGAATGAAAATGCCCAGCTCTCCTCGGTCCTCGCTTCGCAGCCCAACAACGCTGAAGCCAAGGCTGGTGCTCTCCGGTTTGAACAGCTAAAAATTAAATTCAAATTTAATTTAATTTCAGGTGATTGAATTTCAGGTGCATTACCCAAAGAAAGTATGGAGGAACCATGGAAGCATAGTGTGTACCTGAATAAAGAGAATTTGCCTGCCATGGGAAGATTGCTCAATAGCCTTCTGGAATTCTAGAGCATAGGTTGACGTAGTGATTGGAGGCTGGGTCACATCTGGGCTGTGGGCCATGTGCAACTGCAGGGTCAAATAAGAGAAAAGAGCTATTAGACGCAAGGAAAGGTATTCATCAAACACCAAATTCAAATATGTGCAAACCTGTGGAGGTGAATTGGTGTCGCCTGAGCTGCTGTGCGAGAGTTGGGGAACTCTCTGGTCATCCAGCTCTTGCGATCCATGATGCAGGTAGTAGAGATCGGGCTCTCTTGGAACGGTGAGAACAAGGTCTCCAGTTGGAGCAATATCAAAATCAACAGGAAGTATAGAGGGGTGCTCTTGGAGTTGTTGATTTAATTCAGTTAAAGAATCCTGGTTTTAAAAAAAATATTACAGACATTGTGGTCAAAACATATCAAATCAGATTGTTTCAAGTTCATTCAAAGTGAGTAAAACTTGCCTGAATAGTGACAATACTGCGGAATATTGGGTTTTCCAAAACAGATATGAGAAGGTTTAGATCATCTGCTGTCTGAGTTTGGAGCTTAACATCATCGCTGGAGTCGATAGTATGTTGGATATGCTCCAATAACTGCAGTGCAGTTGATATGTCTGCAAGAGAGAGAAAATTAATGATTTCAATCTTTTAACAATACTTTAGTAATAATGTTACTCAGTGGAAATTTTAAATACCTGAATTTAGAGGCATTCTAAGAAAGATATTGTGTTGGTATGTTCAGAAAGTGTCATGGACCACTTTTATCTGTAATAATAGAACATTATCTTACACAATAGGAAATGTAAATTGCAGAGCAATCATATGCATACATATATTTAAATTAAAGCGGGCTAAAACTATACTCTTAATAAACATTCATTGTACAGAGTTTGGTTCAAGAGCCAAAAGTGCATTACAGATTGAAAAGAGGTTATGAAAATATCAGCAATTTTGACATTACCCACAAGCTTTTGATCAGAAATGTAACGACAGTTGTGCCATTCTTATCTTCAAAAGGTACACCACTTCCGAACATGCAGACATTTCAGTTATAAAATCGAATAAAATCCCAGTTTTCTGAGAATTTGCCAACACTATCTCACTCCATAGTGAGCCTGCACAAGAACACACTGATAACACGACCAAACAAAGCAAACATTCTAGGATTTTAGAGGCTTAACTTACTTCTTACTATTCTGATTCACAGCAAAAACGTTTCCGACGGTTGCAAATAAGTTATCCAGCATCACAAACCAAACATAAACTTAGCAGAAAACTCTCCAGTCTCCTCCAGCTCTGTAGTTCCGCATGATGCCGCTCCAGGCAGCGCGAGGGCGCTGTCGACACTCATGGGCGTAGTCGGTAGTCGATCACTGGCTTTCGTTTCCTGGACTTTCCACGCCTTGATTCTCGTTTCAGGGCATTGTCCACTTGTTCGTGTACGGGAAGGTCCTCTTCCGAACATTCAAGAAGGAAGTTTTTCATTTATTTTGGTCATTTTATCACACGGGGAGGAGCGACCTCGAACGCCCCCCTCCCCCTCTCCCTTTCAATTATTATTATTTCTAGACAGTGAAGTAAAAGATGAGAAATAATTCTAACAAAAAGTATAGCGCATGTAGAGGCACCTCTATTGTTCTTGATTGTTTTACATCCCATGACTCTTTTCCATCAAGGTATCAAAAAAAAATAATCAAATCAGTCAATCCTCTAGCAACAAAATCCTTTCGACAAAAAAAGAACTGGAATTCTCTATTATGGCCTGAGCGCGAAACTTTTCATACAACACTGGAACACTTTGGGTGTAAAAAAAAATAGTGACAGGCTTCTGCTAGATCCACCTAGACAGACTAGACACAGAAGTGTCGACGGACGAGTCACAATATTTGCTCCGGGTTCCAGTGATAAATTTAAAGTTCGAAATGGCTGGGTTGTTCGGTTCACACGGCAAGCAGTTCTCCATTGACGACGCGTTCGAGGAGGACAATGAAGAAATGATTCGCGTGTATGGCGCGACAACCGAAAGGTCGCCTTTGAAACCGAAGAACCGGAATTTTGTGTCTGACGACGTGCTGGTGCGGATAGAAGAGCCAGAAAGAACGCCCATTACCATTCCTCCCAGACTCAAATTTGGAGACGATGTAAGCAATCTGCGGTTTAGGCACGTCCATCAACAGGATCAACGAAAATTTTCTGAAACTTTATGTGACCCTTAACCTATTAATCACTGAAGACTAGGCCTGTTTTTAAATGATTTAATGTTGCAACAATAGTCGTTTTCATCCTTTATTGTCATCATCTTACTTTGGACCTTTAAATATTAGGAATTTTTAAGGGATCCGTAAAATTGTTTTGGGTTTCAACACGCCATCACATTTTTGCTTTTATTTGCTTACAGACAACCTCTAGGGACAGCGATTCACTTCTCCAAGATGGAGGAAGTTGCTATTCCACCAAGTTCGACACTTCTCAGTCCTGCTGGCACCACCCTAAAGTCCGCGAAAATTGGAAAATGGTTCTTGCTGCCACCATGTTGCTTATTATTGGGATTGGTACGTTCCTGAGGTTTTAAAGACCGAAAGGCTGTTTCCTCTACACTTCATTTCAACTTAATCCATGTTCCTTGAAACTTGTTGTACTAAATGTCTCGTTTCTGTTTGAACTTTAAGGTCTTCTAACAACAGCCATGGTGGTAACATTTTCACCCGACACTGGGCTCCAAGGATTTGTGTTTTTCGTCGCTGGCTTCATCTGCTTCATTCCAGGCGCATATCATGTGGTCTACATTTATTTAGCTGTAAAAGGAAAGCGTGGTTTTGACTTCTATCACCTTCCACTTTTTAACTGAGCTCAATCAGCTACCAATTTGGAGAAGAAACGTAATAGAAGTTACCAAAATGATAGTGTAAGCAACATTTATTTAGTGGATGGTGCTTATTGCAGTATCTAGAAAGTTCTAGTGTCAAAGCACATCTAGGACTCTAGATTCAGGATGTACCAAGTAAGATAAATGTCAAAAGCAGCTTCTTAAATAGCTCAGGAAGGTGTCCCAGGGACCATTTACAAATAACTAGCATCTCATCTACTACGTAAGGCTGGAATCTAAGGATGTCTCTCCTAGCTCATCTTAATTATTATTTATTGTTGTGCCCGTTTGTATGATCTGTCATTTAAGAGGCAATAGTATCTTTCATCCACTGTATGCAAAACCTCCTAGAGAATGTAACAATGAAAAATGTAGATCACTTTGTTTCCATTGGTACTATTTATATTTCACCTTGTCTTATGTAAAGAAAAGGTTTTATTTTCAGAGTTTTGCTTATCTTGTAACTTCTTTATTCTTCTTCAAACCTATCTTTGCTCCTAAATGTATAGTTTGCCATCATTCAACCACTTATATTTATTCATTTTCAATTTCTTTTTTTGTTCTGTTAAATGTATATGTAGATCCTTTTATGCATTGCTGGCTGTGATTTCACTGTGCAAAGATGTACAAATTCTTCACCTAAGGCTTATAGTGATCACAATTTTCTTTTTTCACTTTTTTTTTTTATATAAATTGCTATATATAGAAATTTGTTAAAGAAAATTGCCTGATCTTTCTCCCTTATGAAATTGGTGGTAAATCAGCTTCTTTGCCTTCAATGAATTTACATTTACCCTATGAGGCAAAGAATTCAGAGGATGAAATGATGATGTTGATCATGAACTGTAAAAGAACTGTGCTAGTTTTAAAATTTTGGAGTGGTGTGATGAGTCAGTCTGATCCATGAATTAATGATGATAACATAACAATAAGGGCATTGATCTTTGCCCAAATCATTTATTAGAGTATACACTAGTGGCTTTGTGTTTGTTGTTTGCTGATTATGTTGATCGTCACCTTAACTATACATAGAAATTGATGTGACAATGGACTGTGTAAATTTAGAAAGCTCTTCTAACACATAAATAATTTATTACAAGATTTTTTTTTAACATTTTGTTGCGTGTCCTTTCTCAGCCCATCAAATCATCTAGTTTTATTTTTTGTCAAGCAAGATGCAGAGCAAACCAGAGTGTCTTTTATGTCAATGGTCTAGCTTATGCTTTGTTTGCATTTTATTTGAAGTTTTACTTCCACTTTTTTTTTTTGTGATATAACACATCCTTTATCCAATTACTATTTTCTTTTGTCTCGCATTAAAGCCATCACTTGTGATTATTTTATAATTTTCTTAAGACTGATAGCAGACTTAATGTAGTTGTTGAATAGGTTTTGAATTTTATTTAGTGTAAGATATAATGTATGTGCTTGATTGAAGAATGTAAAGCGTTGGAATGAGCTTTGCTTTACTGAAGGCAGCAACTTTTAATTTTTGGAATAGTGATACAAACCTCTTTCTTTTTCATGGGTACGCAATACGCATACTCTTAAAAAAGAATGGTGTTTGTTTGAAAATTTCCAGTGTGGTTGAACGGGGAAAATGCTCCTCAGTTTCTGATTGCATTGCTATATATCACTCAATGCATCATGCATCTCTGTTTTAAGAGTTGAAATATTAGACCTGAATAAGTGTACTAACTGATTTGTATTTCAGATTGATATAAATGTGTACTGTATATTGTGAATCATCTAGTAACTGTTATCGTTTGTCAAAGTGTTGAAATTTGGAACACAATCAGCACCACCCTTCTGTCTAAAATTTTCTATAGTTAACCAATGGTGCACAAATCGGGATCAATTAAGTCAAAAATGTAAGCACGTGTACCATTGTCTTTTGTTGACTAAATTTGAATCTCTATCTTTCAGACAGGAAAAAGGCAGGATCTCAGCATCAGATGATGATCCTGATAATAACTCTGTTGTGCTGCTAAGTGTCAGTTCTGCTAACTGTTTCAAAAGTGTCCTTCATTCCTCTTTTCTTCAAATAATACAGTACCTTTGACTAGACTAGCCATGTGATGTGAAATGTGCATTTTAAACAAAATGTCTTGCTTGTTCAAACTTTGCACTTCTACTGGTAGAGCAAAGATCACAATAATCTTTTGTAGTATAAAATGGCAAGAAAGAATGGTGTGTTACATTTCATGTTTAAATTAAATTGTTGTGCACAACATATTGGTACTAAGGACGTTCTAAGAGCCTAGAACTACATGGTAGGACTGAGCTTGTAAAATTTAACTGCAGAAAATTACCACCAACTTGAAAATCGAGGGGTCCTATTCAAAAGATCTTATCTGGGCGTTCCCCCCAAGACAATCTTATCTTAAACGCAGGTGAATTTCACATAGTTTGATCATTTGGTACAGCTACATATCAATAAAATTTGTGAGTGCGTTATAGTAAATCTAAAGATGGAAGATCAAAGAAACCAAAAGTGACCGTCGTATTTATTCTGATTGATCAAAATGAGTGAAATTTGACGGCGTTTAAGATAAGATTGTCTTCGGGGGAACGCCCAGATAAAATCTTTTGAATAGGACCCCTCGAAATATTGTTGCCTTATCTATGGAAATACTAGCGACCTGTATAAACCCAAAGAGGCAGACAAACCCCTAGTTTTCAATTACTGTATTCTATTGCTCTCTGCTCTTTTCAAATATCTTTGCGAATTTTTACCTTTTATACAATTTTTATGAGTCATGTGACCATTACTAGAGTTTCTCAGAACATCTCTATTTTTTTATAGAATTGCACTGTACATACTACGTATATACCGTGTACTGTGTGCACTTGCCCCTTTTTTGTAAAGCCCAACAAAAATTCATCAAAGAAATTACCTTAGATGCTTTTAAGCTTCATTACTAACTTTAAGACATGGACAGCATTGTCTCCTGATACTGTTAAGCGGACGTACTGCTGATGTTGATATTAGATTCTTCTCAATAAAGAGGCTCCAATTTGCATGATGCTTGTTTGAGCCATCCCAGAAGCACCGCTGGACACTCACACCGTACATTTTATTCAATAACAGAGTCAAAACTGCGGGAATGGTTGGCTGCGCTGCGGGCAGTAGTATTATCAGTGGTGAGGGAACTGGCCTGGCGATACCCCACGCCCCTTTCTAATGCCTGCGTTGCGAAGCCTGCCCTGCCAAGCATCTCGTGCAGCATCTCTTACTTCTATCTCACTTCCACTCGCACGAGGGGCGCCTGACTGGAGAGGCTTGTCAGGGGTGTCAGGCTGTCCTGGCCGTCTGATTCCGAGCACTGCTTTCGTCGCTCTGTCTCTCTCGCACTCATGGGGCGGTCGGTAGGGGTGCGAGAGAGACAGAGTGACGAAGCAGTGTCCGGAATCAGGCTGTCCTGGGGTTGTGGCGTGGCTGAGGGGCAGGCTGAGCATAGGCTAAGCCGTGTGCATTCCCCGGCGAGGCGCAGGTAGGCAACCCGCTGCACTGGGTTTGGGGTTCGGGCTCGTGGCTCGGGGGGCCCTAGGGGACCCCAATGACCCCTGGCCGGCTTCCACCGCCACCCCACCACTGCACAGTGGCGCGACGGGCTGGTCGGGCTCCGGGCGCAGCGAGCGGCAGAGCCGGCAGAGCGCTGTGGGGTGGGGTAGGGTGGGGCGCGGCGGGGAGGCCCGATCCGGCCTATTCTAGTTTGTTCCGGTGTCCCTGGTGGGGAGGGAGAGCAGCCGTGGCGACGACTGGGACTAGACGGCGTTGGTGGAGTCGGGCCGGCGACCGGCGGAGACTGACGCGCCGGTGCAGCACAAGCATGGCCCGAGCGCGAGCGCGTCCCCTCCGCATGGAAAGGGGACACGCGGCTGCGGCCCTGCGGCACGCACGGAGACGAAGCGGCGGAGCGCGGAGCGGGGCCAGAAAATGACGGCCAGAGTTACGACACTGTTACCGCCTGAGTGATTCCAATCTGGACGACGACGGTGGCCTCGCTGAGCCTCGCCTGCCGGGGCTGCCTGCCGGGGCTGGGGCTGCAGCGCTTTCGTCCTCGGTCGCACCCCGTCTCGCTGGCGCTTGCGGTGCGCACAGTGGGCCAGAAGCCGGTGGAGGCGGCCAAAACTCTAGACGCGTTTTGAGCTCCAGAGTCACTAAATGGGACTCGAATCGAACGTGTGACCCCACCAATGTATTCCTCGTTCGGAGAGCAATCCATTGGTGGGGTCACACGTTCGGTTCGAGTCCCATTTAGCGACTCTGGAGCTCAAAACGCGTCTAGAGTTTTGGCCGCCTCCACTGGCTTCTGGCCCACTGTGGTGCGCCCCGCTCCGCGAGGCCGAAGGCGCCGAAGGGGCCGAAGGGGCGGGAGAGAGACGGCGCGACGATGCGCTGTTCGCAACCAGCCCACTGCCTTGGTGCCTTGGTCTGGGGCTGCTTGATAATTCCCGTCAGCCCAGCCCTGCAGACTGATTCCGAGAGTCGTTTTCGTCGCTCTGCCTCTGTCGCACTCACGGGGCGTCCCGTGTGGGTGCGAGAGAGGCACAGCGACGAAAACGACTCTCGGAATCAGTCTGCAGCCCGGCCGGCCCGGGGGCGCGTGGCCGTGGCCTTGCGCGCCAGAGCGCCGCCTTCGCTTGCGGCTGCTTGCTGTTTGCGGCCGGCACCCTTTTTCCCGCGGCGGCCCCGCCCCACCGGCGAAGGCCGTCGCCGCCGACGTGAACGCGCCGTCTGAGTCGTTTTCGTCGCTCTGTCTCTCTCGCACTCACAGGGCGCCCCACCTAGGTGCGAGAGAGACAGAGCGACGAAGACGACTCTCGGAATCAGTCTGCTGGGCTGGCGACCGCGGATCATCCCAATAAAGAGCGCGCGCGCCTTGCACGAGCTCAGAAGCGCGGCGCCTTATCTAAATTAGCGTCGCTGTGACGCGGCCGCGTCGCCCAGCGTCGTCTCGAAAACCCGTAGGTGAGCCTCACAAGCCTGGCAAGGAGGCCCCACCCGGGGCCCGCCCTTCCGAGCCGAGCCGAGCGCAGCCGAGCCGAGCCGAGCCGCACGCACCGGACCGAGCCGGGCGGCCGTAAATCCGCAAAGAGGACACGATGGAAGGACGAAGTCGACGAAGCCGCTCTCAGCTGAAGGCGAAGGCAAGGCGCCACACGCCAGCACGGCAGCAGCACGACACCCAACCAAACGAGCATTGATCGACGGGGTGGCATGGCTGGCATGCCCGCAGGACATCGTCATCGTCATCGCCAAGGAGCCGGCCAGACGGACTCGACGACCCAGTGCACCGCCACCCCCTGTCGCGTTTCGGGGGCGGAACGTACAAATCCACGCCGGGCGAGGCGCATCACAGTGGGCCAGAAGACCGGCGGAGGCGGCCAAAACCCCGGACGCGTTTTGAGTTCTACAGTCGCTAAATAGGACTCAAACCGAACGTTTGACCCCACCAATGGATTGCTCTCCGAACGAGGAATCCATTGGTGGGGTCACACGTTCGGTTCCAGTCCCATTTAGCGACTCTGGAGCTCAAAACGCGTCCGGGGTTTTGGCCGCCTCCACCGGTCTGCCCGCGAGGGGAAGGCGACGCATTTCGACCTCGGCGTCGATTTGCGCTGCCTTGTTTTCGGTACTTTCTGCACGACACTGATCGCCATTTAATGGCGGCGCCGCAGACTGAAGCCGAGCCGCGCTTTCGCTGCTGGGGATGCGGATGCCCCGTGAGTGCGAGAGAGACAGTGACGAACGGATCACCGTGCTCGCTGAAGACTAGCGCCCCGTCGTCGCTCGGCCAGTCGGCGTGGCGATGGCGCCTCGCTGGCAACCGTCTGGTGACCCGCTGGGCCTGCACGTTGAGCGCGTTGCCTACCCGTGCTGTCCGGCTCGTTCAGCTCGCCGGTACGGGAACGAGAAGGTCTGCTTTGCCTGCCTTTGCCTGGCTTTGCCATGCTCGGCATCATTGGCCCTGCCGCTCGACTGCTGCGCTGGGGCTGGCTGGCGGGGGCTGCAGACGAGCACTGCTTTTGTCGCTCTCTCTCTCTCTCTCTCTCTCTCTCTCTCTCTCTCTCTCTCTCTCTCTCTCTCTCCTCTCTCTCTCTCTCTCTCGCTCCAACACGGGGCGCCCCATGAGTGCGAGAGAGGCAGAGCGACGAGAGCGCTGGGCTGGCCGCTGGACGCGCTGGACGCGCTGGACTAGCGTCGACGGGCTGTAGCCCGATCCGCCCGGATGGATCCGGCCGAGAGATGATGCGAGATGGCCGCTCGCGCGGCCGCCACTCCGCCACGCCGGCGTGCCGGCTCGGCGAGCTGCTCGGCTCAGCCGCTCTGATTTGAGGCGGTGCGGGGCGGAGCGGCGCGGTTCGAGCCGGAGGGTTAGACGGCCGGGGACAGCGCGGGGGGCAGGCAGGAGGCACTTGAACGTCTTGAGGTCAGCCTGCTCGTCAACGGCGCGCTAAGCTGCGCGTTCGTGTGTGTGTGGGTGAGTTGTCCCAACAGTGCTTTTGTCGCTGTCTCTCTCGCTCGCCGGCGGACCGCCCCATGAGTGCGAGAGAGAGAGAGACAGCGACGTCTAGCAGTGTCGGGGTTGAGCCTAAAGGCACGCCGACGACGCCGGCATGCCGCCGGCCGGGCGGAGGCAGCGCATTAGACGTTGCGTGTGCGAGTTTGTTGGGGCCACTCGCAGATGTTGGGATTGGGCCACGCGAGAGTGAGACAGAGAGAGAGAGATAGGGCAGCTCTCCGCCGCCGCCCCCGCGCCGCCGGCGTGCCATGGCCGTCCTGATGCCGGCCTCCTGGTTCGCGGCCTGAACGACCTGAGCCTGAGCGAGCCATGTGCTGCTGTGCCGCACGTGCGCGCCGTACTCGTAAAACGCTCCGTAAAACGGTTCGTCTTCGCGCAGTCCATCCGGCGCCGCGGGCTGTTCGCACACCCACGCGGAGCTACGCGGAGCTACGCGGGGCAGGGCAGCTCGGAGGTAGCCGGCGAGGAAGACACAGGGTTACACCGGGGGAGGAACCGCGAACCGCGCTCGCAGTAGTAGCTCCAGAACCAGTTGTTCAACAATGTGAGACCAGCGCTGGATGGTACAGGAGGTGGTGGCAGACACGGCTAAAACGGTTTCTTGTTTTCCCAGGTAGCCCATGGTAAAGACATGTGATTTCCAGGGAGTTCCTGGGGAAACAGAGGCCAGTGTGAGAGAAGTGCAGTGCAGGGTGGTACAGTG